CAATGCGTTTGAATGTGATGCCAATCTATGTAGGATGGAGTCCAGGGAAGCTGAGGAGCACAAACAGAAACTTCTGAGGTCCGAGCGTCAGGTTTCCCTGGCTAAGGTGTAACTCTCTATTATGCAGGTTGCATCACGGCGTTTCTACACAGTCCGATGTGCAAAGCAGGAGGCTGCTTTGGAAGCGGGCAAGTGAGGAGTAGCTAAGTCACAGAGAAAACCGCACCGGTGAAGGGAAAAGCTTTCATTGGAACCTACACTGGCAGTCACGCGTGCTTCCCCAAGTATCCCATTCACACGAGAGATCGAATATCAGACACAAAGAGATTACAACGAAACCTTTAGTAAGGCCACACCTGGAAGGCCACATCCAGTTTTGGTCCCACGTTACAAAAAGGACAATGAGGCTTTGGGGAAAGGGGCAGAGAAGAGTAACTGGGATGATTGAAGGCCTGGAGGCTAAAACATCTGAAGACCCGTTGCAGGAATTGGGTTTGGCTAGTCTGGAGAAAAGAAGGACCGGGGGGGGGGGGGGGGCGACGACAGGACAGCAGCCTTCCGGTATTTGAGGGGCTGCCCCAAAGAAAAGGGGGGTCAACTTATTCTGCAAAGCCCCAGAAGGCAAGACAAGAAGCGAAGGATGGAAACTCATCCAGGAGAGAACCAACCTGGAACTAAGGAGAAACTTGCTAACAGTGAGAACAATTAGACAGTGGAACTGCTGGCCACCAGAAGTTGTGGGTGCTACAACATTGGAGGTTTTAAAGAAGAGATTGGACAGTCACTTGTCTGAAATGGTCTACAACCTCTAACCTATAATGCAGAATTTGCATTATAATATTTCCACCTAGAGGATTCTTCTATAATTTGATGGGTTTGTTCAAGGAAGCATTTTTACAATTGCTGACAGAAATTAGAAGAAATTAAAAGAAAGTTGCTTTTTTTTTTACAATTCCTGCAAAACGTGCCACATTTTATTTTTTAAGGATGGCAGCTATTCCTGCTCCCTTCTCCTCCCGTGCAAGTCCGGATAATGTATTCTGCAACTCGATTCCTGAATTTTATCACTTGCAGTCAAAGAAACTTATTTCTTTGCGGGGAAAAAAACGCCTCTTTAATTCTAGGTTGGATCTTTCCTGGATTAGTTTCCCTTCGTTGCTTCTTGTTTTGCCTTCTGGTGCTTTGCAGAATAAATCAGACAAGAGTTGGAAGGGACCTTAGAGGTCTTCTAGTCCAGCTCAAGCAGAAGACCTTTACCATTTAAGACAAAGGGTGGGAACTCCTGATAAACAATACAATTTGGAAGCAGGCTTAAAGGTGTGTTGTGCTTTTATTCACACCCTGCGTTTGTTTGGTTTCTGCAACCACAAACTCCCACTTATTTTCCCACAACAAACTATGTTATGAGATGGGCCAGGCTGGAGGTGTTTTGACCCAAGGATACCTATAACTGCTTCACGCCTAACAGAAGACTAGAACTTGTGTTCTCCCTGATGCTAATGTACCGCCAAATGACTCACTTTGTATGTTAGATGTTTGTTGGGTTGGGATTTTTTTTTTTCCTTTATGAGCAGCAATATCCAGGTAGGTTTTGTTAGGGGCAGCCAACTCTCACAGCTATAAAATAAAAATCCACACCAGAAAGTGTGATGCAACAGCACACGCTGCCAAGAATGTTTGTAAGAAACAGAATAACAGAGTTGGAAGGGGCCTCGGAGGTCTTCTAGTCCAACCCCCTGCTCAAGCAGGACACCAATCAATCAATCGGAATAGAGCTGGAAGGGACCCTGGAGGTCGTCTAGTCCAACCCCTTGCTCAAGCAGGAGACCCTAGAACATTTCAATCGATCAGTTAATCAGAATAGAGCTGGAAGGGACTTTGGTAGCGTCCCCAGATCAAAATTCATACTTATGACCGTTGCTGTGTGTTTATCCCCCCCCCCCCCCAGGTCACACGATCCCCTTTTAGCAACCTTCTCATGACGGAGGGAATCGGTTTCTCTTAACAACCGGGTGACTGACTTATCGCCTGCCATGATTCTCTTAACGGCAATGGTCAGAAAGTGCGTACAAGGGGGCGAAAAGCTCCCTTAGCCAATGCCTCCCTTAACCCCCGGAAACCTTGAGCTCCGTTGCCGCTGTTAAGGCGAACTCTACCTGTCCCCTTCCAGCCTCCCCACCTGCGACCCCATCATCTTGTTTTATAGTCTGGGTCCCATCCATGGGCCTTTCCCCCCCTCCCTTCTTGTTCATTTTTCCTCCAGCGTAGGACGGAAAAACAATTGCCCAGAGGAGGTTCGTCAGATGGGATTGGCTGGCGTTTTCCCGCGTTCAGACTTGTTCTCCTGGAATTCCCAATATATACTTAGATGACTCCAGGGCTGGCTCAGAGCAAAGTCTTTACTCCTGGTTGACTAGTCCAGACTGAAGTTTATGTGCAACCCTGACAGCTTCTCTCCTTTCCTTTTTCTGACTTATTATTATTATTAAGAAGAAGATTTGATTATCCCAGCTGTTTCAGATCGATCGATCGATCGATCTCTACTGAGGCAGAGGAAAGATTGGCGGACTCTTGAACCTCCAAGCTGAACTTCTGCAGAGCTGCTACAACAACTTATTTTCTCCGAAAATCAGGATTCAGCATAGCAGGGGTGTTTTTTTGGGGGGGGGGGGGTATTTATACTTTTCCCCCTGATTTGGCTTGAACCAACTCTACAATCCCAGCAGAATTACTATTTCTCCGCTGCTCCAGGTTAGTTTGCATCTTCAGATGGTGGTTTGGTTTGGTTTGCAAGGTGGGGAGAGGGGTTTATCCTAAACAGCAGGGGGATAGGACTAAGGGGTTGGACTAGATGGACCTCCAAGGTGCCTTCCAACTATACCCTTGTGTGTGTAGTAAGGAAAGAGCTGCTAAGAGGGAATCTATCTTTCTTTTTTGGGTGTGCCTGTTTGGTACCAGGGGTTGCAGCCTTGCATCAGAGTAAGAGTGGTGCAGGGGAACAGCCCTGAAGCTGAACATGTTCCTTACAACGGCAAGAGATGTTCGTATCATCAGTCAATCAGAATAGAGCTGGAAGGGCCCTTGGAGGTCTTCTAGTCTAACCCACTGCTCAAGCAGGAGACTCTATGCCATTTCAGACAAATGGCTGTCCAGTCTCTTCTTCAAAACCTCCAGTGATGGAGCAACCCACCATTTCTGGTGGCAAGTTGTTCTACTGGTTTATTGTTCTCCCTGTCATGAAATTCCTCCTTAATTCCAGGTTGTTTTTTTCCTTGATGAGTTCCCACCCATTATTTCTCATCTTGCCTTCAGGGGCTTTGGAGAATAAGTGGACCCCTTCCTCTTCTTTGGGACAGCCCCTCAAATACTGGGAGGCTGCTATCATGTCACCCCAAGTCCTTATTTCCTCCAGACTAGCCAAACCCAAATCCCGAAACCAGTTCTTCCTAAGTTTTAGCCTCCAGGCCTTTAATCGTCTCAGTTGCTCTTCTCTGCACTTCCCCCCCCCCCAAAGTCTCAACATCTGTCGCTGAGGAACATTTTTGAAGGAACGTGAGAATAAGAGACGCCTTCGAGGTCGGAGGAGGAGGAGGAGGAGGAAAACTGGCCACTGGGTGAAGAAGCATGGGTTGCAATCCAAATTGTGCCTTGCTCACAGTGGCAACCATTGGGGCAGTGCTGGCCGTCCTAGGAGGAATTCTCATCCCGGTTGGAAATCACTTCATTGACAAGACAGTAAAAAAGGTAAGGGACATCCCTAATTCCTGTGCTTCTCTGTGTTTTCCTCACTTCCTCCTCAACATTGGCAGGACGTAGGCTGATGCTAGCAGAAATAACCTGCCACAATGGCATCTGAACTTCTTTTTTTTATCTATAATTTCATCCCACTGTTGAGTTGTTCAGACAAAGAAACCTTCAATCTAGGCAGAACAATTTCTATAAATCAATCAGGCAGAAGAGAGCTGGAAGGGACCTTGGAGGTCTTCTAGTCCAGCCCCCTGCCCAAGCAGGAGACCCTAGGCCATTTCAGACAAGTGACTATCCAATCTCTTCTTAAAACCCTCCAGTGATGGAGCAACCACAATTTCTAGTGGCAAGCAGTTCCACGGGTTAATTGTTCTCACTGTCAGGAAATTCCTCCTTAATTCCAGGTTGCTTCTCTCCTTGGTTAGTTTCCATCCATTGTTTCTTGTCCTGCCCTCTGCTGCTTTGAAGAATAATTTGACCCCCTCTTTTTGGGGGCAGCCCCTCAAATACTGGAAGGCTGCTAATCGTGTCCCTCCTAGTCCTTATTTTCTCTAGACTGGCCAAACCCAATTCCTGCAACCGGTCTTCCCATGTTTTAGTTCCCAGGCCTTTAATCCTCTTAGTTGCTCATCTCTGCACTTTTTCCAAAGTCCCAGCCTTTTTTGTGTGTAATTTGTGGTGAGCAAAACTGGATGCAGCGATATTCCAGGTGTGGCTTTGTAAAGCGGTACTAATACTTCACGTGATTTGGATTCTGTGCCTCTGTTTACCCAACCGAAGGATCGAATTAGCATATATTTTTTTTGGCTTCTGCCGCACACGGCTGGCTCAAGTTTAAAGGATCGCCTACGAAGGACTCTTTAAGATCCCTTTCACCATTGCTGCTTTGGGGCCAGGTTACGCCTAATTTGGCTTTGCCCCTTTGGTTTTCCCTGGCTAGGCACCAAAACTTCATTGTTTGAGTCTGTCCAGATCTTTTTGGATCTCGAGGACTTTCTCTTGCGCCAGCTGTTTGGAACTCTGTTCTTGTTTTAGTTTGGACTTCAAGTTTCAACTGGTGAGTTTCATAAACCACGGCCTGCGTACAGGGTCCAAGCCCCCAGCATCAGATTATAACTGAAGATGATTTCAGGCCCTGTAAATCATGAATTGCAACCGTTTGGGATCAGGGAGAGAATGGTGTGAGTAGCTACACGAAGAGCTGCTTTCTACGGTGTAATATTTAAATACTTCAAAAGGCACAATTCTTATAGGCAGAGTTTCTCAACTCTTCTCCAAAAATGTCAAAATATAGCTTGTGATCCAGCATGAACGCAAAATGGACAGAGCACAAAATTGATATCCCCTCAAAAAAGGGGGTGAACTTACTTCTCCACATACACACCTACACACACACACACACACACAGAGGCAGGGGTGGGATTCAAATTTCTTAACAACCGGTTCTGTGGACGTGGCCTAATTTGTGGGTGTGGCTTGGTGGTCATGTGACTGGCTGGGCATGCCTTGTATGTAAATATTATATTTATATCAATATTGAATTTTTTTTATAAAAAAGAGCAACTTTTACCCAAAATCAGGCAAATAAGGCAGGCAGATAGAGTTGCTCACAGAATCACAGATTCACTCAGAGATCTATCTTTCTGCCATCGGCTACCTGAGTCTGCACTGAATAATAGAAGCTTCAGTCCTAAGGAAAGTTGGGCTCCGCTTAAAAGCAGAGGGGAAGATCTAAAGATTAGCTAGAAAGCGAGAAATCCGACCATTTCCTACTTTCTAGCTAATCTAAATCTCCCGGCACAGCAGAACAGCTGATGGTCGGTGAAAAAAAATAGCAACTTAGCAGGCAAGTTTGCCAGGTCAGGAGCGAGTGGGCGGGGAGGGTTCCCGCGGGCCATGCGGGCAGCGCAGCCTTGTGTTCCTGCACAGACTGGATTAATTGCTATTGTGGGGGGTGCTCTGGGGGTGACATTTCTCTGCGGACCACCAAAATTTTCTCATGGACCACCAGTTGGCAACCACCGGACTAGAAAACCTCCAAGGTCCCTTTCAGCTCCGTTATTCTATTCTGTTATTTTCTTATATAGAACAGAATACCTTTATCGTCATTGAATTCTACAAATACAATGAAATTTGAAAGCTACTCCAGCACAGTGCCCAAACACTACATCACAATCACACTACATAGTATATAATAATAATAATAATAATAATAATAATAATAATAATAATAATAATAATAATAATAATAATAATAAACAACTTAGTCTAAAACCTATCTAAAACATATAGTTAGTTTAAAATGCCACTATATACATAAGCATTATTTGATTCAAGACAATTATTGCCTTGGAAAAGAATATCTAAACACCATTCAAAAAATGCCACTTAACCTCATATTTTAGCCTACATATTCATTATCAAAAACAAAAAGAAGTTTGATATTACCCTAATGTTTTCCAGAAACATTATCTCTTTGAGCAATCTCTGAAATATTTTGTATCCTGACTTACTTAGGAGTGGCAGGAAATCATATTAAAGTGTCGTTCTTATTCCCCTCTGCAGGAAGTTGTCATTGAAAATGGTACCATCGCCTACGAGAACTGGGTTCTTCCGGGAAGTCCCGTATACCGGGAGATTTGGGTTTTCGATGTACAGAACCCAGAGGACGTAATGCAGAACGGTTCTGCGCCGATTCTTAAGCAGAAAGGCCCGTACACTTACCGGTAGGTCCAGACCTGAGGATGGAGCTGTCTCTGGAAGATGCATTTCCTGGCATTGGGCACAATGAGCCGGTGGAACGGCTGGCCACCAGATGTCGTGGGCGCTCCATCCCTGGAGGTTTTTAAGAAGAAATTGGACAACCACTTGTTTGAGATGGTAGAAAATACGGAGCAGGGCCATTCCAGAGAACTGTCTGTCCAGTCTCTGCTTATAAAACCTCCAGTGTTGGAGCACTCACAACTTCTGAAGCCCAGCGCTTTGACCGATTGGTAGACCAGGGGTGATAGAATAATAGAGTTGAAAGGGACCTTGGAGATCTTCTAGTCCAACCGCCTGCTCAAGCAGGAGACCCTAGACCATTCCAATCAATCGATCGATCGATCAATCAATCAATCAGAATAGAGCTGGAAGGGACCTGGGAGGTCTTCTAGTCCAGCCCCCTGCTCAAGCATTATACCATTCCAGACAAATGGCTGTCCAATCTTTTCTTTAAGACCTCCAGGAATGGAGAATCCACAACTTCTAGTGGGAAGCAGTTCCACTGGTTAATTGTCCTCACTGTTAGGAAGTTTCTCCTTAGTTCTAGGTTGCTTCTCTCCTTGACTAGTTTCCATCCGTATCTTCTTGTCCTGAAGGACAAGCCAGATATCCCACTGATTAATTGATCAGGGATTATAGAATAACAGAGTCGGAAGGGACCTTGGAGGTCTTCTAGTCCAGCCCCCTGGTCCAGCAGGAGACCTATTGCGATTCCAGACAAATTGCTGTCAAGCCTCTTCTTAAATCTCCAGTGATGGAGCATTCACCACTTCTGGTGGCAAGTTGTTCCGCGGAATAAAGGGCTCAGCATTTAACACGCGGATTCTCTTTTCCTTCAAAGGATGCGCTATATTCCCAAGGGAAACATCACGGATCACAAAGACGGCACCCTGTCTTACCTCCAGCCAAATATTTTCATGTTTCAACCTGATATGTCAGTTGGGCCGGAAAATGACACTTTCACCACCGTCAACCTTGCTGTTGTGGTAAGCAAGCCCCCTTAAGGTGTCTAACATCTGAATATTAAACTGTAATAATAAATCAGTCAAATATTGGGTTCGGGTATTCTCAGGGCTCTGGAATAACGTAATAATAATTAGTGTTGTAGCACCCACAATTTCTGGTGGCAAGGAGTTCCACGGGTTAATTGTTCTCATCGTTAGGAAGTTTCTCCTTAATTCCAGGTTGCTTCTCTCCTTGATGAGTTTCCATACATGGTTTCTTGTCCTGCCTTCAATGCTTTGGAGAATAGCTTGACTCCCTCTTCTTTGGGGCAGACCCTGAGATATTGGAAGGCTGCTATCATGTCACCCCTAATCCATTTTTTCCGCTTGACTAGCCAATCCCTAATTCTGCAGCCGTTCTTCCTATGTTCTAATCTCCATTTTAGTTGCTCTTCTTTGCACTCCCCCCCCCCCCAAAAGCCTCAACGTTGTTTTTGTAACAAGGTGACCAAAACTGGATGTGGCCTTATTAAGGATTTGAACACAGAATTTGAATACATATAAAACTTAATTCAAGCCTGTTTGTATTGATTTGCATCCCAGTGCACAAAATTGAAGTTATAAGAATATTGGTATTTTGCTGCAGGCTGCCCCGGCTTTGTATAAAAACAGATTTATGCAATACTTGATGAATATCTGGATGAGATCAGCAAAATCAAGATTCCTCCAAACTAGAACTGTGAAAGAAATACTTTGGGGCTATGAAGATCCTTTCTTGAAAAAAATCCCTATTATAAAAATGGACAAAGTTGTTGGAATATTCTATCCTGTAAGTATATCTCAGACGGGAAAATTAATTTCTGGGGATGTGATTTTAAGGAAAGAGATAAGAAACACCTCTGTAAAGTTCAGAAAGTCCAGAATATTAAAAATAAAATAGCCGTTGGCTTGTATTAGCATGGCTTATGAAAAATCAACAAGTTTTTATTCTAGATAAGAAGCATTGCTGATATCATTCTATTCCACTGGATGTTAGGAATAAAAGTCATAGCAAAAATGGGGTTTTGATAGGGGTCTAACTTCCTTTTTTTTGTTGGTTTGTTTCCTTTCATTGGATGATAGATCTCAAAAAATTAATTTTCTGTTCTCTCTCTTTCTCTCATTCAAGAGCAATAAAACCTTTGGTGGCCCTTACAAGATTTATAGTGGGAAAGATGATATAAACAAGAAAGGAATAATCATCACTTATAATAATAGCAGGTATAATATTTGGGGAAATGTACCTATATATATATTTTGTCTTCATAATTGACAACATTTAATTTAGCATTCTGTCCTGTTCCTTGAACTCTTGCAACATCCCCTTGCTTAGATTTCCTGGCGCAGGTGCAGAATATTCTAAGCATAGAAGGATGGGTTGGTTATCATTTTGTACAGGCTTGGCTTACGACCAAAATGGAGCCCAGAATGTATGTTGCTAAACAAGACATTTGTTAAGCAAGTTTTGCCCCCCTGTTTTATGACTTTTCTTACATGTTATTTTACTTTCTTTCTTTTTTTTCAAAGGAACCTCAAATACTGGACAAGTTATTGTAACATGGTGAACGGCACAGGTAAGTATGTCAGTGGAACAGCACTGCATTTCTGTGCAGAACACACACCCCATATAAACTTTGGCATGCGTTAAAAATAGTCCAGTGGCAAAACTGCTAAAGATTCCCGCATCAATGCATCAAATGAATGAATGAACAAATGAATGAATGAATGAATGAATGAATGAGAGAGAGAGAGAGAGAGAGAGAGAGAGAGATGGATGGATGGATGGATGGATGGAAGGAAGGAAGGAAGGAAGGAAGGAAGGAAGGAAGGAAGGAAGGAAGGAAGGAATCTGGAAGTTTTTAAGAAGAGATTGGACCACCGTTTGTTTGAAATGGCCTAGGGTTTTCTGCCTGAGGAAGGGGTTGGACTAGAAGACCTCCAAGATCCCTTCGGACTCTGTCATTCTGTTTTTTTGAAACAAGTTGCAAGGCTCCAAACTCACAAGATGCTCTCATTGTAACTCACAGATGGGACTGCGTTCCACCCTTTTGTCAAAAAGAGTGAAGAGCTGTATTTATTTTCTTCGGATGTTTGCAGGTAAAGGATCCTGAACCAATAGTGGGGGAGGCATTCCTTTGCTTCAGACACTGCAACAGTGAATTTCTGTGGCTAAGTAAGGGACATTGTGAAGGCTCCAACCCTGGAGGTTCTTAAGAAGAGACTGCCTGAGCAGGGGGTTGGACTAGAAGACCTCCCAGGCCCCTTCCAACTCTGTTATTCTATTAACGTGCATTGTTCTCGCATCTCGCAGGTCCACCTACGTATTATTCGATAGGGATGTGACGATGAAAGAGATCCCGCTGTATCGCTTCAGTGCCCCTGCTTCGGCTTTAGCTTCATCCCTCACCAATCCTGACAATATCTGTTTCTGCACCGAAAGGGTGGTAAGCAGGAACTGTACCACCGATGGAGTCCTGGATATCAGCTCCTGCAAACAAGGTAGCCCCAAATTATGACGAAAAGCACGGACTATGGAGGAAGAAAGCCAGGGGTGGGATTCAAATGTCTTCACAACCGGTCCTGTGGGCGTGGCCCAATTTGTGAGTGTGGGTTGGTGGTCATGTGACTGGGTGGGCCTGGCTTATAGGTAAATATTGTAAATATTTATGTAAATATTGGATTTTTTTTATTTTTAAAAAAAGAGAGCAACTTTTACCCAAAATCAGGCAAAAGCAGACAGGCAGATTGAGTTGCTCACAGAATCACAGATTCATTCAGAGATCTATCTTTCTGCAATCTACTACCTGAGTCTACACTGAAATATAGAAGCTTCAGTCCTAAGGAAGGTTCAGCTCTGCTTTTAGATTAGTTAGAAAGCCAGAAATCTAACCATTTCCTGCTTTCGAGCTAATCTAAATCTCCCGGCACAGCAGAACAGCTGATGCTCGAGGGGGGGGGGGGAAGGAAAAATAGCAACTTAGCAGGCAACTTTGCCAGGTAAGGAGTGAGTGGGAGGGGCGGGGAGGGGCAGGTGCGTAGCACCTTGAAAATCCTCTTCTGTCCTGCTTTTTCAACCTCAGCTGAAAAAGCAGGAAATAAAGGACCGCCAAGAGCCCCGGCAGGTGGACAAACCGGTTCTGGTGTCAGCTGCTCTTCGGAACTACCGGTTCTGTAGAACCGGGCCGAACCGGTAGCATTCCCACCCCTGAAGAAAGCTTCTTTGGACCCAGGGCAGAACCTGTGGGATTGTAATCCCGAGAAGTCGTGGGGGCGCCGGGGTGAGAATGCAATACAGGCGGTCCTCGTCTTATGACCGAAATGTTCCATCGCTAAGCGCAGACGGCTGTTACAACCTTTCTTGTCCCCCTAGCTAAGTGAATCCCTGTGGTGGTTCCATTAGCGACAGCGACGTTCAGAGAAACCAGCTTCCCCTGTCGCAGGGCGCCAAAGGGGGTCGCGACACACACACACACACACAAAAAAAACACCGGGGAACTCTGCGGCCATCGTAAATAGGAATCATTTGCCAAGTGTTTTGATCCCGTGACCGTGGGGAACACTGCAAAAGTCGTTAGCTGGGAAAAGCGGGGCTTAAGCCTGATATGGTCTCCTGTTTGGGCGGTCCTTTCCGACTCCGTTAATCATCATTTTGGTTTAACGACCTTGTAATCCCTTGCGGGGTGGAGTCTCTGGCAACTGAATGGAGCTAGCAGAATGTTGAATGGCTGGATGCCTTTCCTGTCGCCAATGAGGAGTTTTGTTCAGCAGTTACATTCTCAGTGTGCCGAGAAAGGGGAAAATATCTGCTCCGGTGCGAGTCCTAAAGTTCAGAAGACAACTGGTTCCCCGGACCGACCCAGATTGGGTCTTGTGACATTATCGTGGGACGACGTTATGTTCACCTTGTTTGGTGACCTCTGCAGTTTTCCAGTCAGCTTCTGGGACAAGAGTGGCTGTTGACGATCTGGTCAAATGCAAATTGCGCTCCTTTTCTCTTTTATTTCCACAGGGAAACCAGTCTACGTCTCCTTGCCCCATTTCCTGTATGGAAGCCAGATGATTTTTCAATTTGTGAAGGGGATGGAGCCAAACGTGGAAGAACATACCACCTTTCTGGAGGTGGAACCGGTAAGCGACTGCAAATTTTATGTGGTGGGGCTTAGTTTTGGGGGGAGGAAAATAAGACGAGAAAAAATTCTGCCTCTGCCTCCCAGCATCCATCGGTATTCGTCTGGCTAGCGTCCTGTCGGTTTGTGAGAGAGCGTTGAGGGCTGTTTGGAAAGTGAAACAGTATTTGCCGTGCGAGCAAGAAGGAGACAGCAAGGAGCCTGGGCGTGGCTTAGCTCAACTGTTCTGTACTAAAGCTGGTTGCTGCTGTGAAACTGAAACTGAAACT